TGGCGGTTTGCATCGGAAATAAGCGTGAACAGTATAGCACGAAGTATGAATGAGAATAAAGCGGACTTGTTCTTTCTATAAATACTAATACTGTTCGGACGTATTCCTGAAATGTGTTACACTTCGTGGGGATTAGATGTGGATCGATCGTGACTAAAAAATTCAACAAAAAAAAACATCATCGCACGGCTGTACTTTCGTCTGACGTAGCATCGTCCATTGTCCTTATGAATCAGTGATTGATTCATTAGTCGACACGCTGGCCGGTGGCTTAAGCTCCCTTAATCGAGTTAGTTCGTTCATGAATTTATGCGAGATATTACTACACGGGTATCCAATTACAAAGTATTTCTATGCACGCCCTCGCCCGGTTCTGAACAGCAACGCGGCGTCCGGATTAAATTCCATTCCTGTCACGTTGAATTAACAGACATAAGTTTATCAGCCACCCCCCACCCTCCTGCATCGATATTCGGAACGGTGACGAGAGTATCGCATAGGTATTACGGGCAAATATGTCAGCGTGCGTTATAACAGTTCTGATGGATCCGTTTCCATCGGTCTGACCGGATACGGCCTCGTTCTACTCTGTCGACACAGGCGTTTGCCTGTTTCACTTCCTCGATCTCTATACACTCCGAGCACCTATCTAGCACAGACGCCTGTGTATTCTACTTCTACGAATAGAAGACAGATATTTTCGATGCTTTCATTACGATATCGGTCTATTCTTCCTGACAGAGGACAACGCTATTCTGCCAGAGTGTTCTGTAATTCGCCAACGGATCGCGTCCCTGAATTTGTTAATTAAAGTTATTAATATTCTGGTGTATTCAGAATTAGATTGAACGGTAACAAACTGTAATTGAATCTCTGGGCTCTTCTACACTGTATCCATGCTGTTACACGAACGATGATGCGATGTGAATTACGAGATAACGTTCTGTGTCACTGTTTCCTACAATTATGTTTCTCGGCGACAATGTACCGTTACAGTTACCATGATCAAATACATATTGAATATCCATTAATAAATTCGCCGAATAAATACGCGAGCACGTTCACAGCATCGAACACGATCGTCTTTCGTGTCGAGTGGCAACGTAACGATCGTAACGTGGACATTCTCTTTTACTGCGAGCATACACGCCCTGTTTGATCACGACCGGCTATGATCCACGGTAAACACTGTCTATTTGTTATAGGACGACGTTTCTGAACCGAATTCGGAACCGTCAGTATTTCCAGACGCCTACACCACAGCGATTCGACGGAATAATGAAACGGGGGACAGACACGGTGGCACACGCTTCTGTGCCTTTCAGAGGAACTTCCGGCGATCAATTCCGTCGAGCACGTCTCTTTGATGACGGACGCGGAACGAAATCGCACCGAGCAATATACCGAAAGCCTCTTCAACCCTGAAATCGAGACGGGGGTGGTTGCTTTAATTTTTTCTCGAATATCTAAGTTGCACCTGTTTATTGGTAACTATTCAGGGTTAATGGTCGTCGTGTTGAGACACACCACTTGACTGCAGATTTTTATGCAAAATGACATTATTCTAAAGTAATTAATAAAGACAAGAACAAATTTAGGAATTCCTTTCTCCTTTTAAGTATTTTGATCTGATGAAAGTTTTGTCTTTTACTGTATTTCGTGGGGCTCTAGGGCTATAAATACATGAAATCCGCAGTTTATGAGTTACATTCTGTATAATCTAAGAAAAGAAGAAGGGTAGAGAATTGACACCAGCAAATATGGAGCAACCCAGTGTCAATCGTGGGATTTCCAGTGACGCGCTCATCAATCAATGTCCTATTTAAATTTTAAATTACTCACCCAAGCTCAGGACATCGAGTTCGGACATTCCCACGTGATCCCAGCAGCTGGACTTCACCAAGATTTCCTCGCAGATCTGCGCGTAGAACTAATTCCGAACTGAACGGACTGCAAATAAGCAGAAAATCATAAAGCAATCGATGGATGCTAGAAGGCGCTTTTCGCCAAGAATAAATTAACACAAGATAGTAGCTTTGAACTAGCACTTTACAACGCGAGGAGCGTGTTCGTGAACGTAATCGTGTTGAAAAAAGTCCAATTATATGTCAATAAGTTAATTTCTCAGGTACCGTGTGCACGTAACTGCGTTAAATATTCTATACGGTGCAACGAGGTAACATAAACCGATGGAAAGCAGGCAGCGAAACGGCGCGAACGTTCATCACTCGGTATCGTACGCAGATATCAAAGGATGATAATTGCTCAGACCCGCTCGCGCCATAACAAGGTTCCGCTTGAAAGGCACACGCGAACGAGCATGCCATTCCCAGGCGGTCCGTGTTTCGCGAAAGAACGAAATCGTCGCTTAATTAACCTGTCAGAACACAGACTGTCCCGTTTCCCAAGGGGTGAGGGAGAACCGAGCGCACTCCACCGCCACCAGGTATGGGGATGCGCATCAAGCGTTCGCCCCGGTTTTCAATGATAATTATTTCGAGACGACGCGTCAAGCGTGTGTGTTCCCGTCACCGTTTCTCTAATCGAGGATCCGACAATTCGAAATCGGCCCTCGCTCGTTGGATATCGAACTCCGCATTCTCGAGGATCGTCCCCGAGTATGAATAACGAAGCACTTCACAAGGTTGCCCGCCTACCGAATCGGATTAAATTAAATCCTTGCCCGGGGGTACAAGGGACAGGAGTTTTCTTATCGGAATGTTTTATTTAGGGGTGCGCGGCGTCGAGAATGAATATATTTCGAAAATGTGAGAATAACAGAGGGGAAAAACAGAAATTAACGGACTCTAATGATCGTTTAACAACTCTGTTGTCGGTTCCGCGATAGTCGTGGTTAGTTTTTAATTTTCCCGGGCTTCAACGATACGGTAATAGAATAGTTAGCCGGGTATGCTAATAGCGGGGAGATTCGAGCCGCCATAAACGGCCAGCCTCGTAATTGAGTTTTCCGTTTTCCACGCTCGAACTTGTCCATTTAGTTATAATGATGTAATTACCGTGAATCACACTTATCCCGGCGTATTCGGGGGCCCGCGGAATTTCGAAATTAGCCTACACTTTACTACCGTAATCCTATTATCGAGGGGTTCCTGCAATCACGCGCATTCCACTGCCAATTCCTACGTGCTCCCCTTGCGAATATCGCATTACATGGCTCCGACCACGCTCCTCCCGGTATAAACAAATAGCTTACTCTGATATTTGTATTGTACTGCGTAACGAATGGCACAAACAACGTATTTGTAATTCTATCGATAGCAGAAAATCAATTTTTGTATTGTCAACCCGTGACATTTTAAAGTAAATATCTAACCTTCAGATTAAACACACGATTAACGTATAACTTGTTTCCTTCTGGAAAATGATTAATAATAAAGTAACTCTGACTTACGTAATCGTTGCGAAAATCGTGAGACATGGCGTTTCCCTAGTAAACACATTTTTAATTACTCTACGTAAACACTGTGTCAACACACAACTCACAACTGTCGGCAAGAATTATTGTAATTGTACAGAAAAATCGATGGCGATCTTCGATTCTATCGGATCTTTTGGCGTCAGTTTTGAAATGGCTATGTCACTATATTTTATTAGTTGAACACAGCCTCCCTCTGTTTAAAATTCTTCAATACTTTAATGTTATTTAAAGTTTAAAGGATTGATATTGAATATTTCGTCTTTTGCGAAGTAATATATATGCAATAAATAGTATAATAATAGAAAGAATTTGTAAGACTAATTTGAATTTAGTTATCCGCTTGAACTCGAACCGTGACACTAGCTCCACCAAGCGGTGTGGTCAGTTACTAGTTCGCGATTTGGATTGCAGTAGCCCGCGTACTGCTCTTCCTGTAAATTTGTGATTATTCATAAATAATGTAGTGATTCTTTATAAATAGTGTCTCTTTCGAAAACCTTCACGTGCCTGGTAAGTTCTACGATATGGGTACTTACTTTGCAAGATGCTCTTTTTCAAAAATATCGAAAAATGTTCGCACTCACATGTTTGCTTAACATTGCCCCTATGGCACTAAAAACGAACGGTCGTTTTGCTATTTCTTTCTTTGTATTCCTTCAATGTAAAACCAACTAAAAGCAGTAAAGAATACAGATACCAGTCAATAACAACACTATATGTCACATGGAAGTTTTTATTACATGAGTAACGCAAACAATGATAATTTGCGCTTTTTTAAACAACGCATCGCAATGCGACATTTTATAACGGTTTTCTTGAAATACGTCACGTTAACGGCTATCTCTAGATGACCAATCAGTAACCGATGAGATTAGATTGAATATAATTCTCAATAAAGCAATTTATTTCGAGTTTGTTTTATTACACAACGTAACAAATTGTTTTTAAAAATATCTTGCAAAAAATTCTTTTTCATCAGTAACAAACAACCGCAATGATGAAAAAAGTCACATTTTAAATTGAGATTTTTGTACATACCTCACCATGATTAATTTACTTTTTCAGGATTCAGTGACCTCACAGTTCCCATTAATCGTCGGTTACTAATTAATCATGGCTGGACACGAGGATGCAACGCGAGACGACGTTGGGTATGTAAATAACAGAGATTAATTTCTTGAGTTGATACAATAATTCATCTTCCAAGAAAGGGAGAGCATGAGCAGTTCTGTATTTTAAATGCTTTTTTCTCGCGATAGATTTAATTTAGACATTCAAAGGAATTTAATTTAAAAAATACACTTTGCGAATATTTACAATATCTTTCATAATTTTACACGTTTGAAGTAGAAAGCAAGCACATATGAATACTTCATAAAATATGAAATAATTGAATAATAAAGCAGATCACTCTAGCTTTATGTACATCATTCTTATTGCTTTCTCAAGTATCCTACTTCCATTTGCGTAACATTTATTGCATGAATATTTATAAGAATACAATATAAAGCTGTTAATCTTAGTACCGAATAGAACTAAGGATTATTCTCATAGTGTTGTCCATCGAGTACATCCAGCGAGTAATGTTACAAGTGTAATTCATGTAAACTTTACAGGCTTGGTATAACATATCAGTTGTTACGGAAACTTCATAAATAATGTTCATACAAAATAAACGCGGTGTCGATTCAATAACAACACAATACAAGTACACGACCTTATTTATTAACCGTACGCTCAACATTAAATCTATTTGTTTATACGTAGTAAAATGTACAATCTGTTGGAGAAGATATATTACGGAAAATCATGAATCTCGAAGGGTACACACTAAGACTCTGACAAAATGTCCTCGAGTGTTTTGTCGTCATGTAGGGGTGAGTGTCCTAACGTGGGATCACTCTCCAAGAATTCACGGAGCTCGGTCTCTAGATCAGGAACCGCAGACGCCTCCGTTGTGTTCAATAAAGACGGCGGTGTCTGACTGTGCGTCATACCGATCTGTATTTGGATCGGAGGTTGATTAGTATTCACAATACTGATCGATTGAGGTTGTTGGCTAGTCGGGCTGAGCAAATTCGCATTCGGAATAGGAGATGGCGCCGGCAACAGATTCGACGGAACTGGATTACTGTTTGTCGTCTGCGGTAATAAATTGGTCTCCGCAACAATTGTCGGGTTGTGTGTAATTGGCTCTACTTCCATGGGCTCTGGTCCACCTAACGGCGCTATCCCCATGGCTCTGCGCAGACCATCAACGGGAGCAATAGCCGAGGGAGGTAGCTTCTTTGCTATTTCTGTAAGATTGTCTGTAATCTTGTCGGCTAGTGCCACTTCATTCTCCGAAGGTTTAGGAACATTCGACAGATGAGCAGGCGGCGGAGCTGACAAGCGATCATGCTGCGCCTGCTTTAGACGACCCAACATCTGTGATGTATCGTCCAAGCGGCTCTGTAGAGCTGCACGTTCCTCGCTGAATTTCAATTCCTCCTCTGTGAAAAAAAGAAATAAAAGATTAAAGAACGAGTGATTGACAATTCGATTGTCAGGAAAGTTTAAATAATTCCTTAAGTATAGTTACCCAGATTTTCTAAGAAGTTAACGTCAATTCCCAAGTCTGAGAGTGTCTTCAATTGATCGATGTCAACTTTCACATTATCCATCGCTGGAATATTACGATTTACGTCTTGCATAGGCTTTTCTAGTAAGTGCTTTATCTTTTCCTCCTCTTCCTTAAGTCGCCGCTTTTCATCGATGAACTTCTTAGTCTTTCTGTGATCGCCGCCCGTCAAAATATCCAGCAGATCATCGACCATAGTTAGTGTATAATCACAGTCTTTAGCGAAATCTAAAATGGATTCTGCATATTGTACGGCCGTTTCATCACCGTAGGTCTGATACACCAAGTCTGTTTCCTCTTTTGTTAGATTAGCAAAGGTAGAATCGTAGCTTGGCGCATAAGAGCCAAAGGCACCATAATACAAGGGTTTCACTGGCTTAGACATGTTTCTCCTATCTTCACGAAATCCTGCCAATGCGCCTGTTCCATGATTCAGTTTACCAATGAGCTGACCTAACGATACCGGCCTTTGATTGGTTCCTGGAATTACACCATCTCCTGGTACTATTATTTGCAAGCTAGTGGTTCCATCTTTCTTCTGCCTGAGGAAACCCATTTTTGAGTTCAGCCTTTTCAGCGATAACTTCTCTGAGGCTGTCTTTGCAGCTCCGCGTGCTTGTTTTAAGATCTCCTCTGGGGTCATGTCGTCAGGGATTGCTTCAAATTTACCTAAACTGGCTAATCTCATTTTTCTCTGGTTCTCTTTCCTCAGTTCCTCGGCTTCTTCATTGCGTTCCTCTTGCTCTCGTTCTCGTTCGATCTGTTCCTCCGTTACCGGAGCATCTGGATTATTTGGATCTTCGGTACCCAATTCGAATCCAAGTTCCTCCTTTGATATATCCTGCATATAGGTCAGAACAGGTCTTAACTGTCTAAGTTTCTCAGGTGTAACCATCTTTAAACCAACATGCAACAATTTCTTTGCTGCTTTGAAATAAATTGTGTCCGGATGGTTGTATGTGGTAGCATTATCACACATTAGTTTAAAATCATCTACAAATTCATTTAAATTCTGATAGCTGTTTTCATCTATCTTTTGCTTTATGGTACTGAAATCCATGGGACTCGTAATGATCTGAGAGTATCCAGGTGCAATGCTGTCCGTGACTGGCCATGCAAAAAATTGCTGTGGGTCACGTTTCTCCATTGACCTTAGAAGGTGTTCTAGTAATCGCTGAAGGGGCGTACGTTCAGCAATTTTTCTAAGTACACATGTTCTGGGTTCTCTATGTGGAGAAAGAGAACTGATTTGATTGGTGACACCAACTCTGTGCTCTGTACTGGATGGAGGTCTTGGTGGTAATAATTGGTGATTAGGAATCTTTTTGGGGACTTCAGCCAAACTTTCATCTGCATCACCTACGGATTCCTGACTGGATTCTTCCCTTCTCCTCTTCTTGTCTTTGTGATGATGCTTGTGTCTCTTATCCTTCTTTTTCTTTTTCTTCTTAAGCTTTTTGTGCCCCATATACCTATCGTATTCAGATTCCTGTGTTACAGAACAGTTCAGACCCAACTGTTGTTGGTAGACACCCAAATGTTGAGACAGCATTGTTGCCTGGCTTGGAGACTCGTTGCCGTATTCAGGTGTACCACTGCTACCCCCTACTTTTAGAATAAGTTTCAAAGTACGGGGTTTGTCCGTGGTTGTATAGGGCCCTTCTGTTGAAAGAAATGAGAAGTTAGTTACAGTATAGAAGAACTGATACCAATGTTATTAAACATATATAAAAACAATTGAAGCATTAAGCTATAAATAATCTTTATTGCAAATCTATTGCATGCAATATACAGTGTCTTGCAGAAAATCATACAAAAGTGCAGAATATTGTAATACAAAATACAGTGCTGGATGTTGCGTAATGTAATCTTGCAGGATCATGAAAAGAAGTGTAGTTTTAAATTAATAAAATCTACAGGATATTAAACAGAAGGGTAGAAGGAAATACTGACAATAATAATAATACTAAAGATGACTTTGTAACAGAACAGTGACCTTGTTTTCACATTCATCAAACTGGAAGCGAGATGGAAGTAGCTTGACTTAAACTAAATAAACCTTGATAGAAGTATGCAATTCAAAATAATTTTTGTCAAATTGCTCGACTGAATCTGCAGGAATAATCAGGAAAATACCTCTCAAGGAGGCAAAGCAAAAGCATGTATGGCCATTGATGCCATAATATGTAACAGCCAGGGAACTAAGTGATTGAAGTGCAACAGACATATTAACAACCCAGAAAATATTAAAATCTTGGTCATAGAAACTGTATTACAATGCAAATGTTAAAGATCTTGTTGCACTTCAACTAATCTTAACAGACAAAAAAAACTGAAAGGGTTTGGGGCATTCAAGTAATTTTGGAAGCACAGCTAGTTTCTGTCGTGCAACCAGTCCATGTCCTTTGTTACACATCACTTACTTCCACGTCACACCTGTTGCTGTGGAACCTTCGTTTATACTTTTGAATCCACCTCACTTCTACTCCAACCTCACTCTCAGTTTGTCCGTGGTGAAAACGCAGTCAATATTCCTGTGCATTATTAAACTATGAGTACCAGAAGGATTCTAATGAAAATATTAGAAATTTCAACTACGTCAGATCTCTGCGATTACAATTTGGAAGGAGTTTAAATAGAAACTTGTTCTTGGATCTTATTCATTTTTTCACTTGAATCCTCATGCAGTCAACACTAGCTTTTAACGTTGTAGTACAATATTCAGTGCAATATTTTAATGAACGAAATACTCCATCAGCAATAATGACTAGCTAAATATCAAGTGAAGTGAGGACAGACTATTTGAGAGACACCCGTTACTTCATTTTCTTGCGCCTCACTCGATCAGAATGAGGACATCGTAAACAATATTGAAACGATTCGAAAACACTCGATAAACGTGGTAACGAGCTGCTATCGCGAGCACAATTCGATAAACGAACTTAAAAAGAATATCGCATCAAGATACGATTGTTGACGCTCGGTTTGAATTCGAGGCGCGTTCCGAATTCATCGGGGACACTATATGTGCAGCACAGTGTGGAACGGCTATTTAAAAGGCGGCACACGATAACGCGACGATCTATGGTGCCAAGACTGATGTTAAAGAACACTTAATAGCGACGAGAAGCGACGGCAAGACGATCGAAATACGCCGGAATCGTGCCCTGTCCTCACCTTCGTGCCTCTCGCGCTTGTGCTTTTTATGTTTCTTCGAGCCCATGGTTTGCACGTCGCGCAACAGTTTGGCGAATAATTCTACCGAGAAACAGTAAACACTACGTCGTGAACCACCACGGAACGCGGCTCGTGTGTCTACCGCGCTCCGTTACGTATGTAGACAGTACGGCGGCAGCCATTGAAGACGTCACGAAACTCCAAGCCGTTATGGTGGATGCATGTCTCTTTCGTTTCCCCCGCCCGACCCGATTATCGCCAGCTGCACTGTCATGGCGACGCGTCGCCTCGAACCGGCGCGTGATTCGATTTTGTTCGAGCATTAATGGAGTATTCCCTGCCTTTACAGCTACGATCCTCTTAAAACGACGTTTCTTACGATGCCAGTACACTTGAAGATGATCGATAATTACCGGATACACAGACGATGCCTTCAAATGTTCATAACCGACTAATAAATCTAACGTATTGTATGATATTTAAACGGAATACTAGTGCAAAGTATGTTACGTAAATACCGGCTTCTTCGCGATATCAGTATCGTGTAACCGATCAACTAATTCTGCCCACAGTTTCTCAAGTGAATTCAATCAAGGACTAAGGAGCCCAGCGATGCTGAACTTAAGAATGCATCTCGACTCGTTAATTCCACTCGAGCGGAAGTGCAGCTAATGCACCGACGATGCACCGTGTCATTTCCGAACCAGATTTCCAGAAGCGTTACCCAGAGATGGCCGACATCGAGCCCGTGGATTTCAACGATGGATTATTCCTGTTCGACCCGGGAACATCGCAGTTTCTTTCGCGCGTAAAATAATTCACCGCGTATCGACGGAGACGCGCAGAGCCGGCCGGCCTTGTTGTGCATGGAGCTTTAAAGGCAAAAGGCGCTTCCTAACCTACAAAAGATTCTTCAAGTACCCCCAAGCACTTACCCGTGTTCACCGAGCAACGAAACACTCGACCGTATTCACAGGCACGCGCTTTACCGCACGAGATCGTCCCCACTAAACGAGTGAGCACTATGCCGAATTTCCAGCGGAATTCGGTGGAACTTACCGCGGCAACCGACGACCAAGCCATGGAAAGAGAAAGAGAGGGCGACACTGTGTATGTGTTGTGTGTGCGCCAACAAGCGAGAAGAGTGTTCACTGGTCGGCCACGATGAAAAAAATTCACGCACACTGCAGAGGTGCGCGTCTCTCTCCGCGTTCCACAATGCCTCACAGGCCGAGCTGCACTGGCAAAACGAATCCTGTTCCTTCACGACCCTTTAAATTCCTCGTGTGGCTACGCCGAGACGAGATCTCGATGGACGGGGAACAGCGCTGTCGTTTTACTGCTCTCTTCCCCTGTGGCAGAGAACCGCATACTCGCGAATTCGTTGGTTGGCTAACTAAATAAGTAGTTGTCTTGGTGTTCTCCTCGCTGAACAACTTGCTTCAACCATTTTCATGCTGATTATTCTTTGGGTGAATGGGTTAGAGGGCCTCGTAATTAAAGGTCTTACGAAACATGGAGTCTATAAGAGAAGAAATTCTGGAAGAACACTCGACCTGTTCTCCTAGTAACCAAACGGCAAGGATATTAATGACGTATTGTTCGGCCTAACAAAAGGGAATACATTCAACAATGGTGGACTTCAAGGGCCTAGGATTCTGCTGATGTGTGGAATCCTTGGTCCAACTTAACTGTGTCTTCTAATATCTCCCATGTAGCTTTTTTATGGAATAATGTGCCCCAAAGCTCTCTGTGCTTGAATTGGTAATATCCAAGTACTCCAACAGTCCTCGTTGCATATTCCACCGCATAAATTGATTTATCCGAAAGAAAATGCTCGAAAATGTGCATATATTCAAGTTCAGCCGACTTTCAACGACACTCCGGCGAAACGTATTGGCTATTCGAGTGATCATGCAAGCAGCGTACCGATAAAGGAGCATCTCGGATATCGGCCGTTGGATAGAGTCGGTTTTTTACGACCCCACCGGGCACGGTTATTACCTCCCATAGGTAGCCGAATGAATTTTTAAGACCCGGAAGCCATGTACCGTGCCCCGTACTTTTTCAGTCCTCGTTGGCCTTTAATGTCGCTTTTTTTTTTCGTTCGGTGTAAATTAAGACGACTTGCCAATTCAAGGAAGATTAGTCGTTTTAATCGGAGCAAATGTTCCGTAGATACGTAATATTTCACAAATTGTGGAACTCGAGAGATGGAAAACAGATACGTGAATGTATTTTAATCTGAAACACCATGATACGTTTCACAGCAAATTGAACGTAACGATATTTCTCTGGTCGATTAATTTGTACAACGAGAGAGAGATGCAAAATTGCACGTGCCAGATAAGGATCACGGGATGCAAACGGTATTTTATAGGGGATCAGCTGATAAAGTGCGTTCACATTGGACAGCAAGAAGTATTATTATACCCGCTTTGTATTACGTTCTCCCGAGCCGTCTGGATCAGGGAACCTTTTGAAACGATGCATATGTAAAAGGGAACATGAAATTTTCCCGAAGGAGAGGCTTCCGTTTCCTGCTGCCACCTAGAACAGGATCCCCGCAACCGACGAAAGTTTCGCGATTACTCATCCCCAGCCACCCGTGGGACGAAAACGTAGTAAATTCGCGTATGCATACAGGAGACCCACGCACAGAGCCAGCATGTTTATGTGCTGGCGCAGTCACATGTAACTCTGAAATATGGAGCACAGACTCGTTGTGCATGATGCACAGAAATGCATTCGCCTGATCGAATCGCCTCGTAACTTTGAAACGTACATACGGTTTCGAAAAATACGGTTTATCGTCGATTCTGGACAGCGATTATGATCGATCCTCGATGTTTACGCTCGATATTACATGCATATGTGTTGCTACCGGTCAGACCAAGATTCGATTGACAATATCCGTGCTCGAGCGTTTACAGGCGCTCGCACTTAAAGAGATTCCACGATAATCAATAACCCAGTTGCTAACGCGAAGTCTTTTTAGAATGTAGAAAATGATCTAAACGTTTATTTGCATTGCAAACGCGAATCGCGAAATGTATAACGGGAATAACTAGACTTGTGTACAGATCTCGGGGGATCGAGAATTAAGGACTTCCACGGCTCACATCCTCTTTACATTCGAGCGAGTTAGTGGGCGTGTCGAGTCGGGGGATACGGTCCTGGGAAAAGTCGACGTGTATATTCAGGTGGATGCACTTCGAGTGGACATTCATGAAACAACAATAATCCGTAGAAGTTTACTACTTCCTGATCCTCGGGGGCATTTACAGATGTTCCGTTAATCCTGCAGCGAAACGGAAAATTGAAATAGGCAAGACCAGTTGGTTGACTTATTTGAATCGGATTAAAGGACCTGAATTTCTTAAGGAGCTTTACTTTCTTGTATATTTTACGTCTGTTTTACGTCGTTTTTGCAACGTTAAGGACTGTATCTACACACAGTGCAATTACGTTCAGAATGCGAACATACAAGTTACGAATTCGATATTGGTATAGAGTATATTTATACACATGTATATCTCTTATCGCTATTCACCGTATCTCGTCCGAACGCGCCGCAATTTTATCTTCTCGGAACTTAATCTCCAAAGTTCCTCTTTCCCGGGCGAACCGAGCCAATTAGAGTTCCAACGTAATCATCATGATGAAGTACAATAAAAAAGAAACACCACCCACACAAACTTCCGACTAAATTAAACAATCCATCTTTTGAGTCCACGATGTGAATATCCACAGCCTAATACGTCTAGCCGAAGACCCTGAACTCCCCATCGATTCCGTTCCGGCGGAGCGCAAAAAAAAAGAAGAAACCGTCCGGTCGTATCGGTTTGGAGTCATCCGGTCGCTCCAATCGCGAGGAAGCCAGTCTCGTATATTCAGTCGCCCCCTCCCCCGTTCATCGATAAACAACGTGGTTTCCTCTATCAACCGGCGACTGGTAAAACAATCCCATGGGAAGGGGTGAAAAACATTTTGCGATTTTGTTCTACCATGGACGATATCCTCCCCAGTGGTCTGTCCACTGTCGTTCGAAGAACCGAGCCTCCTACCAAACTCGATGACAGCCAATAGCAGCCTGTGATCAATCGAGGGTTGTTCCCCGATTACTACGGTCCTGGGGAGAGCCGGTGTGCCGATGCACGCACGCACACGTGGGTGCCCCCGTCACACGGCGCCCATGGTCGTCGTGTCGGTCGTCTGGCAGAAGCACGTCTGGTCGTATCGCGGGGCCCCCTGGCGTATGGGCGTGCATACATATACACGTGTATGTGTTTCATACATCTATGTATATACATATATACATATACATATAAAACGGCCAGCGATCAGCCGAAGCCCACGAGTAGGTCTTGTCTTGTGTCAGCCAGCGTAGCGAGCGCAGTCGGTTTCCCAAAGGCAGTGGCAGCGGTAGCTACACGGAGCGCTGTTCGTGTCGCGCGGGGATCTGTTCGTCGCAAAGAAAACACGCCAGTTCAAGGTGTGTGTATACAACGCGGTGTTCAGAGCACGTGTTCCCTCACGATCGGTGGATATACATATATCGTGTCACGCACGGTTTTAGGTACGTCAGGTGTGTGTGTGTGTGTGTGTGTGTATGGCACGTGTGTTTGTGTGTGTGTATGAGGACTACGACATCATCAACAGGCGCTGCTGCCTTACAGTGTGTACGGCGAGGCGATAAAGAAAAAGGACCATCGAAGATACAGAGGCACGATCACCTTCCACACGTATACTATATATATATATATATATACATACACATAGACGGCACGGTTTCCCCACGTGTGTTCCTCTATTTCTTTTCGTCGCACGACCATTCTTGTTTTTCCCCTCCCTGTCTACCTCCTCGTGGTTGTGTTTGTCAACGGGAACCATTCGGTGTCACGCCACACACGAATCGTACAAGCCCAGAAGGAAGCCCGACGTCGCAGCAGCGAATGGAGAACGCGTTGTTCGCCAATCGTCGTAAACGTAAGTGCGACCGTTTCCTTGTTCACCGGCTTATGTTTGTTTACGTTACGTCGACAGACGAGTAAATTCGCGAGACAACGTAATCGCGAGTAAAATCCAGAAAAACAGAGAGAGAGAGAGTTAGTTGCGGTTCATAGTCACGCCGGCCGATAGGACGACGGAGTACGCGCAGCAGCAATCGCTGGATTACGGTGAGTGAGCCTGATTTTAAAATTCTCTAAAAATCCTTCATTAACACTTTGGCGTCTAATTACGTAGTGGTACGTCTTTTTCAAAAATATTTTTTTGAGAGGAGATTCGTCAACTGCTCGAGAAATCGGTGTAAATGTGTAGAAAATGATGGGGAATATTTTCAAGATTATACTGTATTTTGGTTTCTTACTTACCTAGTTTCCACATTTTTTTTTTAACGACGAAAGGTTAGAGGTCAAAGGGCTCGCGCAGAACTAATAACAAGGCTGTTTCTTTCACCGAGTCAACAATGGGTACACATGCGCGTTGATAGGTGTCGAGCGTAATCTATAGGTTAGCTGAATTAAAAGGTTTGCGCGTCAAGGTCGATCGATCCTACGCGGAGGCTCGATGCCAGGAACCGTCCGTAATGGGCTTCCAGTTTAACTCGACGAAAGTAATCAATTAACAGAATCAATCGATTTCATTTCCATTAAGCTGATGTACCCCACGAACATTCTTATATCTATACTTTGCGAAATTTGTCTTCCGCGCCCTGATAGACGATTTCTTAACTGCCACTACCGATAATCGATACTCTGTTGCATCGTGTTCCGATCTTCGAACCATAGATAGACAAATTAATTGTCTAAACAAATAGTTTCGAATCACAAATAAAATATAAAGAAAAGTAATTCGCCATTTTCAATTGATTAAACGTGGAAACTCCAATTTTTATAATACGATAATATTACCATTCGAATGAGTAGACACTTGGCAAACAATTATTTCATTCCATTAACCGTTTGAAGGTTTGGATCACGATCATAGATATCGCTGCTTTTCACTATGTATTATTCGATTAAAATTTCTGTTCAACTCCGCTCCGAAGCGGTGCGAACGGCTAGACGACTTGTCTCTCCGTGTCGTTTTAAAGTGCATCGCCCGCTCGAAGGCAATCGACAATTTGACAAACGTCATACATCGGATATAGTCTCTCCAAGCGAGCAGGTATCGGTCTGCCGAACCCTCGAAAATACCAGCCAAGTTCGTGCGCGTGCATTTTTCTCGATCGACGAATGTTGCCGCGTGCAGTGGGGTAGGGGGTATCGGTTATCAATCGCGAAACGTTCGGGGAAGCCGGCCGATATATCGTCGATCGCGTAACGTAGCAAACGTATCGTCGAAAACGTGTCACACCCGTTTTATTCGAGAGGAGTCTCGAGAAACACTTTTCGCTGCCGTCACGAGGGCGTTTGATAAATGCCGTTCTCGTGTTACCGATTCCCAGATTCTTTCGCGCTGACACAGCGACCTTTACGGCTTCCTCTCTTCCCTTGACCGTCGTTTTACACCCCCGCGATCGTATACATAATAGTTCTGAGTTACGTAGATCGGAGGCTGAACGTTAACCCCTCATTTCGGTAGAATTCAATAAGAATTGCTGCGTTAACCGTTCTAGTACCTTAGAGCCGATGTATGGGCTTTGTGGGTTTTCCGAAAAATACCTTGAGCCGATATATCCATTTTTAATATAATTTAATGACACTTAATTTTTATAAAATAAGCTTTTATAGTGGAACATACGTTTACTGGATAGGAATAATAAAAAAATTGAAAATATCTTAGAGTGTTAACCCTACGTTTCAGAGGCATTCAGCAAGTGTTACAAGCAGAATCATGATGCATGATTAACTAGTTAGGTATTGAACGTTAACACCTCGAGTGGAATTCTTCAAGCGATAATCGACCATTCTCAGTTACGTATTTCTTCGTACAACCCAGTGATTAACACGTAACGAGATCTCGAGCTTCCTTTTCCGGTCGGATTTGTTTATAAAAACTGTCACACAACGCGGTCTTATCGATCCGTCCGTTAATATTTAGTGGACTGGGTAACGTTCATTGTTTAAACACGAACGAACAAGGAGAACCTTGACTTGTGTAGCGCCTCGCCGTCACTTTTGTCTATTTCCGTTCGTGTTCCAGAGGTGCGGTATCAATTATTCGATATCCACCGATTGCGGCCGATTAACCCAAGGAAAACAAGGGAGCTTCGACGAAGGTGGAAATCGTTTTGCGTCAGCCGCGAGCAGCGCGAGTCGATCGTGCTAAAAATGGGATTGTTTATGATCGTAACATAGCCACGCACTCTTACCATATTTTCCACGTGGACGTGTAGACTCCGTGGATGGTTTTGCACGAGCAAGACAATTTCCCCTGTTCTTTTCCCTAGCTTGGGTGTACCCTCGCGAGCAAACTCTGTTTCCGTTAGGGGAAAAAGTGACATAAGAGGAGGGCCTCCCACCACTTGGTAAAATTATTTCAGCTACTGAAACGAATGTTAATTTGGCATAAGTTTCAGTAATTCCCGATACCAAGTGGTAAAAGGCCTTTTCCCTAGGCCACTATTTTCCCTAGCGGAACTCGAGTTTGCACGTCAGTGTACACACGGCGAACGATCAACAAACACTCACGTGAACCGCGCGGCGGTGTACATACGAGCAGTCACGCGTACGCGTCGTTCGTCTGTCTCTGTGTCCCGGCTATTGTTGTGCACCCGAGCGATATTCGGAGCAACCGATCCAAAAATAAAGTATCGATGTAACGCTACAATTGTCAAGGTCGGCCACCTTGATTCCAACTGAAACCACGACGATTTCATTATCGGATCAGTGACTATCAACCATAAATGTATACAAACTTCCATTCGATTTCGTTAGTTTCATTTTTTCGGGATTAGGTCCTGCGTTATTCTCACAAAGAATTTGAAAGTGTTTACACGGTAAAGTAGTCGAGATATACCGCAGCGAATTAATCCATTTCCGAGGTCATTTATCAGTCGTCGACACACACTGAACTCCAGTAATATCAGCTGTTAGAATAGCATCTGTTGTACAAACAATCGTCGACCTGGAAAACTAGACTGTCCGGGATAACCTCGGTTGTCGTAGGACACGCGTTAATTAACACTGTTTCTCTCCTCTATTCATTTACACGGGGCCATCAACCCCTAAGTTTCTTGATTCTGTACGAACACTAAATATGAGAGTCCATTCTGCTAATTTTTTCCAGAATGCATATAAGTTAGACACTGTCAATTTTCATTTTATCGCATGAAATATCTTGCAATACATAGCTCCACCATCCAGAGAAATGTCACGAGTCAAAGTCCAGTACTTCAAGCGACATACTTGCCAGTGTCACTCTGTTTAATATACGAAGTGCTACGCGACGAATCAATTTCTTTTCGCTGTCCTAAAAAATTACACGTTTCCGACATTCCTTGCAGGGGTGCGATATGTTCTTTAGTTTCGTCATTTTTTCCTATGGTTTTTACAATTAGTTACAGGTTAAGTCACTCTTCTATTGCCTCGAACCTAATCGCCTTCGGAGCGCCTCAATTTTCCACCCCTTTTGAAAGCCATCAGGTACACAGAAGAAGAAAGTTTCCTTTCTGTTTTTTCTCTCTCCTTTGGTCGTATGAGAACCACTTGTGGTCCCTGCTAGCCGTTCGAAGCCTGAAGTTCGTCGACGAGGAAACCCAACGGTTTAGGACGGGGCGTGAGGGGGGTAAAAGGGGCAGCTGCATCCCTGCTACAAAAGCCGAGGCGGCACCGAGGGGTCGATAATCATGCAACCCCACCCTGCACACGTTGTATTTCGCCGCGCAGTGTCTGCGATCCGTGCACGTGGTGGACTTGTGCATCTACACCCCTCCAACCCTTCCTGATAAACCAACCCCTTCCCTCCATTCGTTCACTTCTCCGTTTCTCTCTTGTTGGCTGGCGTTGTCTGTCGATGCGCGTCACGGTTAGGTGGCGTGGAAAACCGGCGGCAACGTGTGTAATACGCGGGATCTGGTAACGAGGTTGTTAATTTCGGCGGTCTGGGTACCTTATTAACCCTTGATCGAAACCCCTGCGGTTGAACAACCGTGGCATGTCATTCTCGAGGCTTTTAATTAGCCGAGGGAAACATTATAATTACACTTCGCCTCGACGAATTTCGCCTGGTCTCATTATTCCGGTGATTCCTCTCTGTGTTCGTTTCGCCACTTTGTTCGCGTCGATTCTCTTATTATACTGTGTAGGGTTTATTCCTGTTTGGGGCCAAGAGATTTTCAACGTAGTTGATTTTCGTGTCCGATGAACCTGCACGTGATCGAGTAAATTATAGATCTGTTATGTTTATGCGGGATGTTCGTTGATAAGACTTCGTTTGCTAGTTTTTGTTATCTCTGTGAATAGAGATTTTTAGAATTTTACTCCCGTGAATCTAGGCACGATTTTTAAGAGAAATGAACACCGTTGATATTGTAGTCGAGCATTCGTCAGGTGAGCGTACACTCCCGCTCGTATTAGGACACTTATAGAGATATTAGTAAGAGTAGCCTCAGATATATCATATTTTCGAACCACCACAATTTTCTTCGTATAGACCAGGCCTGTCTTAATACTTAGGAGCGGTAGTTCATATCTACAGTCGGCTGGTTCTTCGTGTGCTTACGTCGGAGGTTAAATAGAAGCGGTTTCGCGCACTATATTGCACCCTTTGTCGGAGGGGCTGCCATGCGGGAGACGTGGCGCCCTCGGACGAGCGAAACTGGAGTGTGTAGCTTGCCACCCCCTAGGCGAGGGTAGAAACCCCCTCGCTTCGCCGGGCTCGAGGTTCGACCCTGGTCGTGACACACACAATGCATCCTTCTAAACAATTCTATCCATCAAACAGCTCTCTCAGTCATTAGTAGATAAAAACAAACTAATCATTTCGTAGGGTGTTTGTTCTTTTTTCTAAATCCATCTGTGACGATAAATTTAATTCCCGTTTTTCGTCGATTCATCGATCTCGCCACGTTACTTGAAAAATCGAGACGTACGCGCAGTAATCAAGAATTCGAAAACACTACCCCCTTTTGAGGAGCATTTGTACGCCTCCTCGGCTCCTCCGTAGAGGATATCACGAGCAGCTCTTTTGACCGTCCCGGTGTAATTAATTCGAACTCTGTTCCCGCGGCGGC